TGCCGCGTGTGTGTGTGTGTGTGTGTGTGTGCCTGTGTGTTTATGTCAGCCAGCTACAAAAAACAGCAGCGTCGCCAAGTGACGCCTGACTGACGCATGGAAAAAAGTTGCAAAACAGCACACAAGAAAAAATAAACAAATATACAGATATGGTGTGAATGTGTACACATGCATGCACAGACAGTGAAAGCTCCCATAACGGACAGCTCCCGCAATCGGATAACTTTCATAAAAGGACAAATTCCGTCAACGCAAGCTATACATATTTTTTTCAATATAAAAAGAAATTTCCATTACTGTACGCTCTGATTTCATATCACATAAGAGGACATCAGCCGCAGTGGGGCAAAAAGCAGCCACGATGGGTGTCCAGTTATGGGAGCTTTCACTGTACACAAAAATTAATATTTATTTATTTACATACCAGTAAACTCACATACACACAAACACGATTATTTAATTGCCAAGTATCAGTAAAGGCTTGTGTGTGGCTGACTTTTATATACATTAAAAAAGAAAAGAATGCTAGAAGTGAAAAGTTAGAGAAGTTAAAGAATAAACAGCGATTAATTAATTGATCACTCTGAAAAACTAAACTGGTTAATATAACACTTATAATTATAAATAAATTATTGATTTGAATATAATAAATGCATGAAAACCTGCGCGTCTTACTTAAATTCATGAAAATTGCATAGAGAGAAAATATTAACATACGATTTTTGCTAATTTACTTGTTATATATATACATTTCAAAAATCATTGAAACTAGTTTATTATTATACATAAATATATACACATAGGCAATAAGCGAGCATACATCTAAAATTAACCTATGTCGCACACATAGATAAAAGTTTGCCTAATTAAAAATTCCAAAAAGTCAGACAAAGGGCGCGACTCTTTAGTGGGGTCAGATGGCAGCAACAATGAGACCAATGTCAGCCACTGCGGCGAACTAAGCCACACACACACACACGCGCACACACATGCGCCTGGCACATGCCTATGTGACATGTCAGACAGGCCAACAGTCAGTTAGTCAGGCGGGCATGCAGGCAGGCGGACAGGCAGGAAGGAAGGGTTTGCGGGCAGCCAGGCCATAAAGCACCGTCTAAAGTTGCGCTTGAATGCTTCAACGAGGGCAGCAGCAACACACAACAACAACAGTCTCAGCCAGGCGTTGCATGCAACTTGTCGCATTGTTTGAATCACTGAATTATGCAAATAGTTACGCACATACAAGAGAGCCAGATCGTGTGTGTGTGTGTACGTGTGTGTGTGTGTGTTGCTCAAATACCTAGTTTCTACCAACCACAACAAAAACAATTTGCCAAAAGTCTTTGCTATTTAACACCACAACACAAAAATAATCAGACAACATTCAGTTTGAGTGACTAATTGACTAACTAAAAGTTGCCCATGTCCAAGTTCAGTGTGTGTGTGTGTGTGCATGTGTGCGTGTGTGTGTGTGTGTGTGCTTGACAGTTGCTTAATACTCACCCGTCGCTTGTTGCTGACAACTTCCGGTTTGTATAGCACGCCAAAGTTGCCGTCAGTTGCACCCGTGACAATACGAACACTAGTAGCAGCAACAACAACAACAACAACAACAACAGCAGCCACGCCCACTTTGTCCCCCTCCCCAACCAAGCTAACCAGCTAGCGTGTGAACTTTCAATGAAACGAGGCGACTTTAACACTCGCCCTCCGCCCCCGCTGTTGCCCTGTGCTAACTAAAATTTATTTAAATCTGTGCCATAATTGTTTTGTACGCCTGTTGCTGCTGGCGTTGTTGTTCGCTTTTTTTTTGCCGCTTGTGCGCGCATAAAATTAGCGCTGCAAATTTATTGTCCGTTCTGCACATTCTTGTCGCTCTTGTCGCGGCAATCGCGGAGTCCGTTTAAATGTCACAAGTTCAGAAGTTGCTTAAATTTGTTTATCGTGCGACGCAAGCAGCCAGTCGATGGGTTTGCCATGTATTTAATCACAATTAAGATAAACTGAGTTGAAAATCAATTTAAATTTCTTCTTACCTCACAGTAAAGTGAATCTTGTTAGCCTTTGTCTCTTTATCCATTTATATGCCCAAATAATCTACTTTAGCTGGGACGGGCAGCAGGCTGATTACGTATACGCAGCGTGGCACGTGGCACGTTTCAGACTTTGGGCTTATAGTATGAAATAAATCAAACAATAATAATAACTAAGAAGAGTGCTTTAGTCGGGGGAGCTCACTAGAAGTTACCCAGCGCCTTCTATGTTTATGCACACACACGAACCCCAACCCGCGAGTCGCTTGCTGTGCACTTCATGCTGCGGCTGTGCTTCTCTTTTCTTAGCCCCACACTGATGCGTAGTCCAATCCTTATAAATTTTCACGGTCTAAATATGCCACTCAAATGTGTGCATGTACAAAAGCGCTCTACTTTGAAAAGCTAAGAGATACACTGAACTCATTGCCAAGCTTCCTTCTTATACACATTTACACTGAAATAAACCTGCCATTTACTGCGGGGGGTAAAGGGAAATAGGGAGCGGATATAGAGGAATAGAAAGGAGGTATCAAAAATGTAAAATGTTTAAAAAAATAAGTATAAACATACTATACGGGAACCCATACATGAAGTTGCGTATCAGTAGCTCTTAACATTTTTGAGCCATGCCCTAAAAACCAGGTTAATGAATACATTATTATTGATATTATCGAAATAGGGCGAGATATCGAGAAAAATGATAAACACATTCTATGTATGTTATAGAGAATATAGTTTAAATTTTTTAAGCATCTAGCTTATCTAGTTTCCGACTAGTTAAGAAAGTTTATGGACAGGCATACAGGCATGGCTAGATCGACTCACCTCATCGTGCTGATTAGGAATATATATACTTTATGGGGTCGGAGATGACTCTTTCTTTTTTCCCCATTCCAGGGTTCAGGCTATAACATAAAAGAAAATCGTTTGAAATAAATAATGTGTTAATGATGATAAGAAAACACTTGGTCATATATTGAAATTGCATTAAATTATATTTATTGGTTTCATCGATTTGTTTATATAAATAAAACAGGAATATTTCATATATATAAGTATGTAATTGAACAAACAAAATAAAGCGCTTGACTTTAAATTTCTTATTAAATTTACGCTTGTGATATTATTTAAAAAAATACCAATAAAATATCTTAAGAAATTTATTAAAATGCATTAGTACGTATTTGTCTTTTTAATTGAGTAAAAACCTTTTGATACTATTGAATATATATATATATATATATATATATCTTCTTTATGGTAACCTTAAAAGCCTGAAAATGAGTAAAATAAAGTCGAAAACGAAAAGTAATTTTATTGAAGTAATTCGATTGAATTTTGAATGCCAAAGTTGATGTTGATTTTATTGGTTTTAATATACTTTACTTTGGGCTCACGAGTATTAATGCAATTTACTTAATACACAAGTACATAAATACATACATAAATACATACATAAATACAATCATGATCATAGTATATAGTCAGTTTATAGAGTGTACACCACGCGTCAATTTTTAAATGCAGCCAAAAACACAATTTCCACACTTGTTCTCAAATAATTATATATATTTAATATATATATATATATATGTATATATGTTTGTATATATTTGTTTTTCTTTTTTTAATGGTAATCAATTTTTGCTATAATAAAAAGTTCTTTAAGCCCAATTTTTGTTTGTCAGGCGCATTTGTTTAATTTTTGGCTCTACTTTAATTTGCTATTTGCCATTATTTTTTTCGCAAGCATTTTCTTTTAGTGTGTGTCTAACAAATTTCTCATTTCGCAAGAAAAGCAAATATTAAAAGCAAAATTAACGAAATGAATGCGCAACTTAATGAATGCTTGTGGATTGTGATTGAATTTGGGTTTATTTTCTGTTTGCTGCCACTTATATACTTACATACATTTTAAACATATTATTTTATTATGCATTTATAATAATTTGTTTCATATATATATATATACTCGTACGTATGCATAAACATTTTTATCTCTTATCGTATATTAGATAATATGATTTATATGGAAATTTGTAGATCTCATTGCGGTGAGCCTGGTTGCAAGTTAAATGTCCTCATTAAAATGTAATTGCGAATTCTTCTTCATTTCTGTTTTGCCAAATGCAAAATGTATTCCAATGTATGTCGCATCTAAATGTGTGTATGTTTGTGTGTTGCTAAATTTAAGTGAATGCTCCGTTTTCAGCTGAAGCCGTGCAACTCACACTAAATCCGCGATTACAACTATTACATCAAAGCAGTGCCCATATGTTTACCAAGTTCTTGGAATCTCTAAATTACGTCGATTCTGACCAATCTAGCGCTTAGAATACTTGCGCCTTCCCAATTTGCCTTCAGCTCGCACTACGCCGAACGCTAGTTAACTCTAAATGAATGCGTGTATACTTAGTAAGTGTATCTACTTATAAGTGCTAGTTGGGGCATGTTCGTTAGACGCATGATTTTATATGCAACATTTATAGCTAGCATGGTAATAAAGCAACAGAATGTGCATTGAACTGTTTTTCCTTACTGATTCTCTCATCTTCTTCCAGTTCTTTTTCATTTTTTGTTTTGTTTCTTTCAAACTTTTCAAAACCTATCACATAAATATATATGTATGTATTTTTTGGGCGGAATTTTTAGCGTGTGTCTTTGGCTTTTATTTTGTTTGATATTGTGATAGGACAGAGGAGAGCATAGAAGAAAGGGCAATAAACATTTTAAATGTCTAAACTAATCTCTTTAAACGCTAGAAGACGGATTCGCGTGCAATAACATAGGCCATGGTATTAGATTACCGATAGATTACTCGGGCACAAAACCGAGCCGCAAAACTGTTGCCTAACTGAGCTAAAACAAGTGTTTGCATGTGTGTGTGTGTGTGTGTGTGTGTGTGTGTGTGTGTGTGTGTGTGTGTGTGTTGGCGTGTGTCTGTGTGTGCGTATGGGGTATGGCTTTTGGATATTACGAAAAGTGTTTACTGTGCCATTTTGCTAGATGTGTGTGTGTGTGCTTTTTTTTTCATTTGGGTAAATAAACCCCGAACAATGGGTTTGTGTATAAGCTAATTTTAGCATCTCTTTAATACCAATTTTGCGTGCAATGCGCCCTGAACTATGCCACATTTTGCTCGCCGTAAGCAAATCAAACAATGACACTGGAATTCATTCAGTATTCAAATATTATTTCTTTGTATTGTATTTTGTTTTTGTTTTTTTATTATTCATACTTCTAACATTTTTTGCGAGTGTTGATTTTGCTGCTAAGTATACGATGCTATATGTAGTTGTAGTTCTATTCGAAAACTCTTACTTGTCTACTGCACAATTATGTATTGGGTTTTCGCTTTTGCTTTGCCTTCTTTTGTTTTTGTTTGCTTGTTTGCTTTGTAATAATATTAATTTTTTAACGCTTACGCAGTAATGCTCGCTGATTGAATTCGAGGACTCCAGGCAATTATTGCCCATGGCCATCAATACACTACCTTTAAGCCAATACGCTGCGCGGCCATTGCGCTTAAAAGACCAGCATCTGATCGGCGCTGCCCTCCGCGCTGTCCTCATCGTCGGCGCCCTCGTCCTCGTCATCGGATGTTAGCGAGGCGGCATTATTCACCACGGACTCTGTGCAAATGGAACGTAAAATTAAATTTCTGCTGTGCCAAGTTGAACGCCCGGCTTGGCCATGGCCTCAAATTAGTTTGTTCATCGAACGCGCGACTGCCTGCCTGCCTGCAGTAATAAACATAAGCATAAATCTCAAATGAATATTACAATGGGTTTTTTGCAGATTTAGCACTAATCTGCCTCAGCTTTGCTTTTTCAGCTTTTTCAGAAAAAAAAACAAATACGCGATTATATTTGTTTTACATAAGAGCCGAGAAGTATCTTTTTAATATATTCATTACGATGCCATTGATAAATATAAAAAAACCAGTAACAGCTGTTATTAAAATATACGCAGAACAATATCGCTCATTATTACTCTGGTCATAATACATATGTTTTAAATATGGAATAAAGCGAAGAGTTATATGTTAATAGAGTTAATGCAGTCAATAGTATTAGATATTTGGAAGTAACAGTTACAGCTTTCACTGTGATCAAATGTATTTATAAATTTATCGCTTGAGATAACTGATACATGTTATATTTATGAACCAAGGAATATATGTTAAAAGCGCAATTGTAGTCCCTAATATCTATCACTGATGTTTGGAAGAAACAGTTACAGCTGTGACTATAATCAAATAAGTCTATTTATCGCCTTTAATAATTAATACATCTTGTAAATATGAGCCAAGAGATAAAACGCGAAAGTTTATAGACCCAAATATCTGTCACTGTGACAGTTACAGCTGTCTGTGATTTATATGCATTCGAATAATGCTCATCTCTTAGACATCTGCATATAAATATGCTAAGTATTTGTTGGACCAATACTCACCGCAGTTGGGCTTTCCACGTGTGCGTGTATTGGCGAATTCGACTCCATGCTTGTCCACACACCAACAGACGCCCACCGAGTTGTGGCACTGTGTGGGCTTGTAGAATCCTTGGACATCGCAGTCAGGTGCGTAGGCGCCTAATTAGTTCATGCCGAACAACAATGGCAACAACAACAACAACAAGTAGAAGAAGAACAATAGAAATGCGCAATTTTAGTAAGTCTGCATAATTTGCAGTCGTAAATGAGAAAGCAGCACAAGCGAAATATCATGATATTGTATTGTATTATTTTGTTTTGTGTTGCTCTGCATTTTATTTGTACTTTTTGGGTCGTGTGGGGGAAAAAAATAGCCAAGAGACACAATGTGGCAGAAAATAAAAGAAAATTATGCAGCTAAAGTTTATAATGGGACAACGAAAACACGGACACTAGGCGGTAGGAAAAACTTTTGTGTTGTTGTTAAAAGTGTTTAATTTACTGGCTTAAAAGTTGCGTTTGGCTAAAAGGTAAACGAGAGCGGAAAAGCGACAGCGCATAGAGAATAAGTATAAAAATGGTGTCCTTTTTAACTGTTGCTGTGGCTACTTATGTGTGAGTGTGTGTGTGTGTGAGTGGAGCGAGGTATTCGGTTATGTGTATAGGTGTGTGTGCGTGTGTATCACATTCAGGCGCTTAATTATAGCTTGAAATGAGTTAAACGTTGTGTAAAAAGTGTTAAGCGGCATAAAGAAAACAAAGCGCAGACAGCGAATCAAAAGAGAGAGTAATAAACAGATAGACAGTGACAGAATGATAGAGTGGAAGATAGCCAAGAAACGGAAAAGGTAAAACCAGATAACTTCTCTAGCTACCCGCCTTGGAGAATTGTGTTTAACTTTTATTGTTGTTGTGTTTGCGTTTTACAGCCATTTCGCAATTAAAACCAAGAAAGACAACTCATCTTCGGACTTCCGAAAATTAAATACCTTTGCAGACATATTCATTAAAATTGCAATTTTCCTAGCATACCCAAAAATTATTCCTATAGGTTGCAGCCTTATGATGGAACAGTTCATAAAATAGCATTGCATTTTAAGGTAAACCATTTTAAGTGAGATTCGATCCAACACAGAAACAGACGGACTTTCAGAATTATATGGCGACTTATGTCTCTTAAGTTGAATCCCTCTGCAAGGGTATACAAATAGATGAAAGCAAAACCCGAAAACAACATACACAACTCAATAGAGAATATATATAGAGAGAAGAAATTAGTGTTATGTTAGCTAGATAAATGGCCACCTGTACCTATCTCACCTGCAAAGTCGCCGGCGATTCTTCGGCGCACTGCAGCACAGGGACGATCGGTCTTCTCGAAGCAACGGCACCATTCGCGAGTATTGATGGAGCTATCCTGATCCAGGTCGCAGGTGTCAATGAATGGCTTGATGCAGCGCTCGTTCTGATCGTGCTCGAGATCGTACATCTCCTGCAGCGACAAAAGTCCGTCGTTGTTCAGATCCAGATGCCCGAACATCCACTTGGCCTCGGTCTTGCAGGCGGGTGGGAAATGCGCCTTGGACTTTTGGCTATGCTGGCGACGCTTCTTGCTATCGGCCATGATCACGGAGAACCAGTCGAGCAGACGATTACCAATGGCGGTCAACTGCTGCGGCTTGCATTCGGCCGACTTCGAGGGATAGCCTGGCATGACAGAAGTTGAGATTAAGTTTCTACTCTGCCGGCCAAACTTACCACTTGGATTGTTATTTTTGATGAATTTTTGTGGCTGCTTTTCAACGACTTCGTTCTCATTGTAATTGCGCATCTTGTGCTTATCCTCCTGGTACTTGCCATCCTTAAAGAGTTTGAAATGCGTAAATCAGAGAGGTTAGACTAGCGATGGGTGTTTTTCGTGTGCAAAACAATGTGTTCTGGCGTGATTCATATAAATATGCCAACTTTCGAGACATTTCATGTCAAAATTATAACACCGTCCACAAGGAGCTCGTGTCGAGTGTGAAAGTGCATGTTTGGATAGAGATGGCTTTTCCTTACCTTCTTGTAAGCTGTATACTTGAGGTACTTGTAGTGCTTGTTGTCATATTTGATCTCTTCGGGCGTGAACGTGTACTGTGCATTGATGTGATTAAAGTGACGATTGTTGTCCTCCTTATCCTGTTGTTTGGGCGCACAGAATGCATATTAAATTGTGTGTTGCCTCTCTCTGTCAGCCTGGACTCTACTTACATTCATTATGGTATTGAAGTCGTTGTTATTGTTGCCCATAACATTGCCGCTGCTCATCATGATGTTGTTGTTGTTGCTATCCTTGTAGGCCTGCTGCTGCTGCTGTTGCTGCTGTTGCTGTTGTTGCTGCTGCTGTTGTTGTTGCTGCTGCTGCTGGTCCAGGCTGATTTTCTTGTTGTATTTGTTGTAGCCACCACGCTCGCCAAGTCGCTGCAGTCTCTTGCCTTCGGCTGATTCTGCAAAACGAGGCAAAATGGCCGCCATAAAATCGCTTGGCTGGGCAAACTTTTTGTAACCTGGCGCTGGCCATTGAGGCCTCATTTCTGGTTTATGCATGTTGTTTGTATTGTTGTTTTTTTTTTTTATTTATTTTTATTTTAATACTGCACAGCCCCACGGCAAAACAACAGGAGTTGCAATGCGCTTTCATCTGTGCAAATTTAAAATTAATGTCCTTGATTTTGCTGTTGTTGTTCCTGTTGCTGCAGTTGGTTGATTCGCTAAGTGCCCGCTCATATACCCTGTGCTTTGGAACAATGGATTGTTCAACGGATTATTAAAAATTAAACATTTGATATGCTCGGCGTCAGCCAATTTAAAGCCGTTAGAAATTTGCCTTGCTAATTGAAAGATAGCCTGGCTTCAATTTGCCTAAGCCTTCAAATCCGCCTGACACAATTGCACTATTGCAATTTTTTGCCCTTTTGGCTTACAATAACAATACAAAAAACAACACACGAGTCTGCGCAGCCGGGGATTGACTCGAAATATGCATGCAATTTATTTGGATGGCGGCTGTTCAATGGCTCCAGCCCGGACTTGCTGGCCATTTGCCAGCCTCAAGTTGATTATGCGGTTGGCTTCTAGTGCTGGTTCTAGTTTTCTCGTTGTCAACTTTCCGGACAAGTAATAGAAGTGTCCGTGAGTGGGTGTGTGTGTGTGTTTGTGTAAAACTTACCCTTGCAGGGGCAAAATCCTTTGCAGGCGATCCTTATGGATGTCGAATGTATGCAATTGTGATAATCCAATCTGCATAGTGATGAGTAGGTCCTGTTGTCGGCGCCGCAAAGGAACGTTGGCTTAGCCACGGGACACGGCTTGCAGTTGCTGCCAGGGAGTAGAAATAACAAAAATGTCAAGAAAAATCAGTAAAGAAAACTCGGTAGAGTGAAATAAAAGCAACAAGCAACAAATAAATGGCATGCAAAATTAATTTTTATGCAAATTATCTCTCGTAGCTAGAGTGAAACCTGCAGCTTCTATGTGCCTGTTGCCTCTGCCACATATTTTATTTAAATATTTATTTAATATGCAACGCACGCACTCCCAGGCAAACAGGAAAGCATCGCTGTCAGAGATCAGAAGCAGATACCATATAGCAGGTGGTCGTAGCCGCGATTGAGGCGTCGGCTGGTATATTTATTTTATAATTTCTGCAAATATTTGAGCTGTCAAAACTCGTGGATATCGAAAAAAAATACCAACAGGGTTTCCCTTTTCAATTACACTAGCTTTTGTACTAAATATATGCTGTTGACGTCGAAGCGAGTTTGGCAACAAAGAAGTTTCCAATTGCAGGTGCTTTATATTAGCATATATATATCATAGATTTTTTTATATGATGTATGCAAGCTTATAATTATTGCGAAAAATCTTCCTCGACAATTATAAAATTCCATTAGTATTCCCCACATTCTTTAAACTCCAGATATTTAAATATTTACTATAAGTAACTTCTACTTCAAGTTGGAAAATGTTTTATGACAAATTAATGGAACTGATTGTAAGCTTGTATTAATAATTAAGCATAATTCGCAATATTCACACCTAACCATATAAATTGGCTAATCATTTCCATTTCACTTCTTTTACATAAAACAGTAGTGCTCTACTCGGGAGTGCTCGACTAGGAGATACCCAGAAGCTACCGCCAAGTTGCCGTCGCAACCAAGTCCTGTGTATGCAAGATATATTTATACATATAATAAAAACGGGACGAAATATAAACTATCAAAAACTAATTCTGCGTGCGGTATATGAAAATATATATTTCAAATTTTCAATCTCTAGCTTATATAGCAAACGAAATCGACACGTTCACACAGATGAATAGACGGCTTATTATGTATATTTTGAACTTCGAGATGCATATAATATATATTTGCACAAAAATATAATACCCTTTTCTACCCTATAAAAACTTATCATGTACATGCTTAATGCATGCCTTTATTTATTTAAATATACATAAATAATAAATTCAATTAATTAACCCATCCGATGCGGCTGTCTGTATACGTAATTTGTTAAAAATAGGGCTCGTAATTTTTATCAGTGCTCGATAATTTTTATTGGTCGACTCCGGACAGGCACTGAATTGAGGGCGAGAGAATTTTATATATATATTTTTTTCCAAATGCAAATTGAGTGTGTTTACTCAGTAAATTGCGTTTTAGGTCTGTTTGTATGGATTTTATTGCTGGTTTTTGCTAATTGTTGACAGCTTTAATGTCTGACGTTGTTTTTATTTGAAGTCCAGAAAAATATGATATACAAGTTAGAAATTGTATACAACTGCTGTTTATTTGTAATCCGACACACTTGAAATCTGCTTTGAGCAATTAAATGAATACTTTGTTTTGCAAAGGCAGGCATAAAAGACCCTCAGAGCAGCAATATTCCTAGCTTAGCTGATTGTCGATGCTTGGGAACCCTTCGCACTCTAGTTTTTCTGAAGCCTAGTTACACGGTATCTCCTAGTTAAACACTCGACTCCATCCCACTAACATCTATGTTTTCATGTATATTGCGCTGCTTGAAATTTTGTGCATAGTTGTTTGCACTCTTACGGGAAAAATAAGTTAAAAATTAAATTGCTTTTTAGACAAGTTGCACAGAGAAACCCGAATAAAAAGGGAAATGGAATAAAATGGAATAAAAAATATGCACTTGAATTCGTCAAAGCTTGCCAGCTTATTGCTGCCAACATTTACATGGCCATTTAAGCTTTCCAATTTCGTAGCTAAGCCAAGGCAAGCAACTCGTTGGCCAAAACTAAAAAGCATTTGCTTTATGTGTTTGCATGTTGGTGATCTCAAGTGAAAAGACAGTTTTAATTAAAAAAGCAATTGTAGAATTTTGTAGCGATTGTGCGCCGTATATTAAACGTATCCGAAATTTAAATATCAACTGCAAAAGGCAGCTAAATTTCCAACATGGACGACATGTTTCACCAGCTTTGGGTCAATGGTTGCTGCGGTTACTTTGTACAAATTGTACATCAGTAAAAAGCGCCACACATACCGGCTTGCTGTAAAAATTTGTGAATTTTTGCTCAAATATTTGCTTTCAATTTTCCACCAAACAAACGCCCACACAGTCAGGTGAAACGAAGGATGCGGGGAGCAACAAAATGTGAAGCTGCCTTTGACCCGCTGATGCTGACAGCTTTATGTACATTTACCCAAAAGCCGCTCAGTGGTTTCGAATGACTGCCAAAATCAGGCACATAGCCCGGCTGATGTTGTGCTGCGCTGAGGTAAAGGGCCAACTATGTGAAAGCCAGCACCGCCCTTATCCTTTTGCATACCAACAACCAAAGGCGGGGCCATATTGTTACAAGAAACAATGCCAGGCTATATGAGTTATGAGTGTGCATGTGTGTATGTGTGTGTGTGTGTGTGTGTGTGTGTGTGTGTGTGTGTGTGTTCGTGCGTGTGCGTTACACAGCTTTATGGTCTATTACAAGTGCCTCGCAGATAGCTCTCTGTGACTTCTGCCCCCCATCTCAACCGCAGCAAGTGTGCCATAGACAGAGACAAGGCAAATCTTTTGTTTGAGTCGTGCCCAAACGGAGAACTAAGGCAACGCCAGCGAATAAGGAATGGCAGATAAATTGTACGCGCAAACTATTGATTTTGTAAGCCCAATGCTCCCTAGGCACAACACAACGTCCCCTCTCCCCCCGCCCCACCACAATTTCCCACTCTATGTTGTTTTCTCCAAGTGGCATACAAAGTCTGTGCCATTGACATAGATACTCGTATATGCACAAAAGCGACATTCTTGTGAAAGCAAATTGAAAAGAAAATGCGAAAAATATGTCAAAAGCCATTTTTTAATATCAGAAGGCGTGGCATGACTCTTGATTTGCCAATATATAGATTGATTACGCGGCCATTAACAGGCACAAAAGAGGCAAAGTAACACGAGGCACAATGTTTAAGATATCTATATAAATATATAAAGTTTATATATTAATAATAAAAAATCACTTGAGATTATTAATTTACTTTATCCCACAAAAGCAATTAAATTAATTTAGTTCACGTTTTCAACAAATGTGTTAGCTTGTGTCTATTATTTTATTAGTTTTTAGGACTAACATTTTTTTATGCAACTCAATGTTTTTAGAGTTTTCATTTTGCTCAGAAATATGATCTACTAAAAAACTGTCACTGTCATGAAATATTCAACGCGTAAAACGAGACATCTCCGTAGTTAAGTAAAGTATATATATTCTTGATCAGCATCAACTATCTCTCTAGCCATGTTCGCCTGTCTGACTGTATATATATATATATATATGGAGATAAAGATTTTAAATTTTAAGCGTAGCTTATCCAATTGCCCGCACAGATAAATTTTGTATAACATCATTGATAACTTGCTTCGTCGTCAAGTAATCGATAAGTATCGGTATCAAAATCTATTTTTCTTTATATGATATGTAGACTCTCGTATCACATACGCTGATCCGGAATACTTCGCTATTTGGATACCTCCGAAGACCTCAATTGTAAAATTAATTTGTGAAGCTTTTGACTTGGGTTGTGGAATTTACACACGTTTAGATGGCATATTTGTGTTCTGAAAATTGCATAAACATCGGACAGTACACACCGAAGTAAATCGATAAAGCATTTTCCACTGTGCGGAAGCACAGGCGTGTTTTTTGTATTGCTAATTAGATGATTCGATTAAAGCCTTATAAGCCTCTTTCAATTAGTTATTTATAGGACTTCATTAGGCAAAATTGTGCGTGTCAGAAGCCATGTATGTGATTATCAAATTAAAATTGTTGTTCATGCTGTTATTGCAGTCAAAATAGGCTTTTATTGAACAACAGGATTTACATCCTGTAATATGCATGACCAGTTTAATTAATTATAAATATAATTCTATTTAAAGAATATAGCAAAAATATTTAAAGAATACCAATTTTCGACGTGGCGCACGGCATTCATGAAAATTAATTTTCCAACCAACAAACCGTTATCAACGGATAAAGAAAACTTTACGCAATAAGGACCCACCTTTCCCCACGGACCCAGGTAACGAAAGCTTGAAATTAAATTTAGAGCAAAAAGCAAACGGAAACGGAAACAAGCCGAAGCAAAGAATAAACAATAGCACAGCTTAAGAGCTTTCTAGCCATCGTCTTGGATATGCTCGCTGATAATCCTTGCTTGGGTATAAGTATCCGACGGGCTGCCTCTTACTAAATATTGGCTTTAAGAGTGACAAGATTTTCAGATTTCCTCTGGGATGCTTTGGCAAGATAGGTGGAATATCTCTACATATTTTTGAATAGAGCAGCAGGTATACTAGTTTCCTTTGAGCAAAGGCACATGCTACTCAATGCCCACATACTCAATCGGATATTGACGTTTGGAAGTTGTGAACAATTTTCCGTTACAGTTGGGCACGTCAACACGTCGGAAATAGGCCAACTCGTAGCCATGGCTATAACCAGCAATCGCTACCAATCGAACCTTGGCCCAGCGACGACTTTGACTTCATTCCTAGGCTGTCACACCTGCGATCCACTTCGCTCCCCACCTGCCGACTATATTGGAAATTCCTGTACGTTTGCTCGCGTGCGAATTCGCAATTTGGGTTAGGGTCAGAGCGATAATGTTGTACAAGTCAAAGGGTACGAGTATGGCGACTGCTGCAAAAGGGTAAAAGGCCGTAAAGCTGTCGTTTCGGGCGGTTCTGGTGAAAACACGGTAGCAAAAAATAAAAAACAAATAACAACAAAGAGTTGGCGATGACGCAGCACAATCAGTAGAGCACAAAAGGAAATAAGTATGGCAAAGGCAAAACGAAATGCGTGCTAAAAATTGTACTTTACGATGGAATTTGTGTACACGATTAAAACAATTTGTTATTAGCCTGCCCAAATAGGGAGATCTCTGCAGCTAGTTTAATATGTAAGGTGGCCAACCCTGAAGCCTTTTCATTTTCCTTTAACCGACGCCCACGCGATGAATAAGAATTTGTTAAATGAAATGTAAGAGTTTCATTGATATGCAAAGCCCCGAAAAAGGATTGGACTTAGCTAAAGTACACGAACACTTACTCCAACTCCTCGTCATCGTCCTGCTGGGCGGGCGCTGGTTTTTGCAGCTGCTGCTGCTGCTTATCGCCGGCGGCTATGTTGTTCTCATAGAAGACATCGTCCTCTTTCGACTCGTCATCGTCGCCTAGGCTCAGGCTCTTATCTTCATCGTCGTTGTTATCCTCGTTTGCCTGGACGTTGGCTGGTGTATTGTTGTTGTTCTTGCTGTTGTTATTGTTATTATTGTTGTCGCCGTCGCTACTGTTGTCCTCGTCATCGTTGTTGATATCCTCAGCATCCTGGCTATCGTTATCCTGCTGATTGACGCGCCGCTTGGCTTCCTCCTCCAAATATTTGGCCTTGGTGATTATCTCATCGCTAAAGCAAAGGCAGGGTTAAACGGGTTGGTTTTGACACCAAAGGCGCCGGCAAACAAGTTTTAATTTAATTAGTTTATTAAGTTTCTCAACAACCACAACAGAAATTACAAAATTTTATGCCTGCGGTTGCTTACCGATTCTTGTGCAGCTCCTTCTTCGACACGCACACAGCACTGAACTCGTCCTCCAGCAGGCAAATTTCGCGCTTCTTACAGTTGAGCGGCCGGCAAAGGTCACCTGTGGGCAATAGAGCGTGACACGGGCGTGGCAGTCATATTTAATTTATGAAATTTTAAAAATGTTGCTATTCGGCATTTGAATGAAATTCTACTTCGGCCTTGGCATTTCTAACGTTCGCCCCACGGGGTTACTTACTTGAGGGATCATGTATCCAGCGCTTGCGTTCACCCAAATTTTTGTTGCCCTGCGTATTTTTGTTTATCTAAGGATGAATGTAAAAAAAAAAACGAATGTTTCATTAATTTACATTGTGAGTGAAATCTTTTATCTTTTAATTTCGTTATTTAAATGCAGAAATGCAAAGCTCCCGTTCCTGTCATATGCCACACTCGCATCAAAAAAACACACAAACACACACAAAATATGCGAGTCCACTGGCGTAGACATTGTGCCAACACGTGTCGTATACGTAATATACAAATGAGAGAGAATAGCAGCTGTTTTTGGAGCTTAATGAACAACTGGCGGATCTCGTTGGTTGCCACTAATGAAATGCTTCTGGCAGGTTCATTGTTTTAGAGATTTTAGAAAAATATTATAAAAAAAATGTATAAAGAAGTGTATGTACAACAATACAAAGCTTTAAGGAAACCAAAAAGAACTGTTGAATTAAAATACCCCTATATATATTATAGTTATCTGATTTTTCCAACTGATTAATAACATGGAATCCCCTTTAACACATACAAAATTACGATGTTTTGAATAATACATATAATGGAAATTAGTTCTTGATCTATTATGATATAAGCTGCCTGCAGTTGACATCCACCTTAATGCATTACGAAAAAAATGTAGACTTTGTATATTTAAATTTGATGTTCATAAGACAGCCACACAATAAAAACCATTAGCAGGATTTGGACAACTAAACCTTGAGCTGGGAAGCGGACGCACTCTGTTTGGTATATAAACTTGATGAAATGTAAAAGAGATTTAATTTAATTCAAGTCAATTAAATTTTGTGTTGAGACATGGCCACAAGCTGACGTCGCCAGCATATGCGAGCCAGAATGTTATTAAGTGCAATGGTGCGTATGAGTATTATTTAACTTGACTCTAAAATATGGTGCAACACACAGTAATAATAATAATAAAGCCCTGTCACGCCCATGGCTAGCTGGTACATTGAACATGACTGCCATCAAAAGACCAAAAAGGACGCCCCTGTGACAGCGCAGCAATGACTTGATAGTTTTGCAAGCCGGCGCCTGAAAGGCTGCAATGCAAAATTTACGGCGTGACAGCGTGCAGCATAAAAAGCCCGCCCATTTGTTGTTGTTGTTGTTGGCAGCTGGTGCCTGGGCATGGGGAACAAGAACGGGAGCAGCAGCTTTAAGCGTCCTTTTGCTATTTTTTGTTTATTTAAATATGTTTTATTTAGCGCTGGAATCGATCAGTGCCTTCTGATCTCTGCCAAACGAATATATAAGGAAAGAATGTATAGTTATTATTGTTTGCAAAGAAGGGGAAGGAGGTATTTGAATAATTCGCCCCGTGGGTAGGGCGCCGGGGTGTAGCTTTCGGAGGCGCCTCTCTCTCTCTCTCTGTTGGGGCAGCCAAGACCGCGTCCAGTTGCAAAATTGGCAGCAGGATTGTGCTGCTGCCGCTCATAGTTAAACAGGTCAACCGTTGACCCTTTTCATGCTCAATGCCCGAGGCCAACTAAGTACTCTGCCACCAGCCATGCACCACGTACCACGCATTTGGCATCGACAAGTGCAATGTGGCAATCGCACCCTATGCAGTTTGCATGCATCCGTGCCCGTCTCAAATGGCAACTGTAATGCAATAAACTCGTCCTGGACGTGGACTCCGGCAATTTGCATGCGTTAAAATGCAATTTGTGCGTGGGCCCTGGCCGTGGTTTGGCTTGCCGCACCCCTTTGAGATCGCTCTTCCGTCCGCTCGTCGTCAATGCGTTATATATAATACTCTCTGCCTGCTGAGTTTTTGGGCATTGTGCATGTGAGAGCGATGGGCGTGTGGTCGGTCGGTCGGCTCTGCGGGCGTTCCTGTTGATTGGCTCGGTCAGCAATCTGCAACGTGCTTTTGTGGCGCTCAATTTGTTGGCTTTAATTGCGCCGCGTTTGTGGTTGCCGTCAAGCGATTGGCCTTATAGTGGTAGAAGAATGGCGCAATAGCGTAATCAACTCCAGCGGCTACTTAAATAGGCCATTCATTCCGGCATTTTTCGTAGCTCCGCCTCTTTAACTGGGTCACAGCAACGGCAGGCGCTCGACCAGCTACTGCACCAAGCTCTTGCTTATGGCCAAATTGCACTTTCGCGTTATGCAAGCAAAGCCAGAGCACAGGCAGCTGTGCTCTGCCACCCAATAATGCTGCCTGCAGCAGCCGAAGGCACTCCAACTTCTCGCTCCGACACCAACCACGTGGGCCGTGCCCGCCCTGCTGCAGTTTAACCTCTTTGCCAGATTTTTGACTACTTAAGTGGTTGGGCTTATTAAAGCCCATTTAATTGTGCGACTTGGGTGTCGCCTGGCAACTTGACCTTAATTTAGCGGACGCGCACACTGCCTTTCCTCGCGCTCAAAGCTGAGAAAAAATAAAACAATCTTTATATACGCCATTTTGTTGCAGCTGCAGCACAGCCACGCCCACAACTGTGCGCCCACTAGCCGCACTGTGGCAATCTGTCAAGCTTTAAATTGAATTTACGACTTTGTTTTCGTAGCGGGTTTATTTCATCATTTTCATTTTCTTGCGCTTTGCGTTGCTCTGCAAATTCTTTATTGTTTCCCTTATTCACCAGCCAAGAATAACAAACAATTCCTTCGAGGCTGTGGGTGGAGATGGTGGGCAGCTGGTCCGCACTGAGACTGCAGCACTATTTGGGCTGTCAGTTTTGGTTGCATTATGTAAATGTAATTTTTTTCTTCTTCTTGTTTAGACAGTGGTTGGTGCAACTCTTAGATTTGTCTCATGGGATACTACAATTTTTGTATTTTATATTTTATTGAAAATTCTATTTACAGCAGGAGAGAGGAAATATCTTAAATTTTATTGAAAATTCTATTTACTTCCAAAGATTATATGAAAAATCTGAAGAATTTAACTAAGAAGTATTTAATTTTGTTTATAATTTGATTTGCAACACCTTTTCTTATACCCAGTTCCGATTGAAATGGGTGAAAATAAGCAGTTCGTGCAAATGTGTGTCTTAAGTAGAAGGATCCGAGGCCCCAAAAATAATGCATATACATTTATAGTACGTCTGTCTATGTATATCCGTCTGTATAAGGACTCGGAAGCTTTAGTAGCTAATGATTTGAAAATTAAAATATATTGTATCGATATCTTTCCCCTCTTCACCAATATCGATAAATATCGATTTGTATCTAGGCTTTTTATCATAGCTGGTTTTTAACAAGTTAAAAAAACATTCCCCCTTCGCCCCATCCCTACTAGAGAATTGCATCTTGTTTCTTTTTTTGGTGAGAATGTAAATATATTGTAAAAACAAAGCTAAATTCTTTTTCAAAATTCTTAAAGCACAATGCGCCAGGGCCACATACTCATGTATAATTAATTTTGGCAGGCAGCATTTCTAATCTACGCATGTGTGTGTGTGTGTGCACACATATATGGTATGTTCATAGCTTATGTGGCACTAATGCCTGCTGCATATGCGTTTTCAGTGCTACAAACGTTATCCAGTGCTGTGTAATGCATTTTGGCCAACGGAATTCATAATTAATTGCCTGTGTCTGTGCAAATATTGCGTTGCTGCCTCGACACTTTATTTGCTAACAAATTTAACGTTTTGTGAAGAATTTGAAATTTATATTTAAAAAATTGTAAATTCACAAAATAAACTACAAATAGATGGTGCTCAAATTTATGTACACATTAATTAGAATTTAATCGATTCTTTTGACCAACAGCTGCTAATTAATTGGTATTTATAATTATTATATTGCATCATAATAGTTAATACCATTATTAGAATTTACAATTTTAAATTTAATATATTGTAAGCTCGCAAAACAAACTTTTGACTACCAGCTGCTAATTTATTTGTATTTATAATTATTATATTGCATCATAATAGCTAATAACATTTTTTGAATTTACAATTTTAAATTTAATAAATTGTAAGCTCGCTAATTAATTTATATTTATAATTATTCTATTGCATCATTATAGTTAATAACATTATTGTGATAAGCTATTAAAATAACTGATCAATCATTCACTCTCTGGGGCTTAACTATATAATAACTTTAGTTAGTAATTATCGTCAAACATTTTGCTATTTAGGTTGAATAGAACTTAAATTTCAACCATATTTCCCATTGCATTTACTTATTTACTGCTGCCATTTGGTAAATTCCATCAACAGCATTGAGCTCCGTTGAGTTCATTGAATTCAAATAGAAATGTTCTAGTTTTGTTTCGACCATTTCATCAGCTTATGAAATATTGCATTAAATTGGCAGTGAAACTCCATGCCACGCCCTGCTCTGCTCTGCTCTGTTCTATTTAAAAGCGCTCTACAATAAAGTTTATGGTTCGTATTGGGCTAGGAAAAAAGGCATAATAAATGCGCTTTGCAGCTGAAATTGCTGTAAATTATGCAGCGGCCATTGCGTGAATGCCAATGATATGGCCCGCAGATGCAATATTTTTCGCTTTGTTGCCAAATCTGCTGTGCAATCAATAAACCCGTCAGGACGACAGACGACCCATTAAGGGCCGCAAATATTGAGGGTCGGATCTATCTATACGAAATGTGAAAATATTGTGGCCGTGGCAGGCGAGAGACGCATTAGTTGTGGCAATTAGAGCAGAGTGAATATATTGGGCGGGTGGATTGGCAAACCCATTGATATTCTACCACGGAAATGACCAACTGACTGACTGATTCAGCTGGAGTTGTGGTCCATAAATTATGCATTACGCCTTTAAAATGCATTAGCCAGGCATGGCTGGATCGCAATTCGGCTACTTTATGTGAACATGTACATATAAAATTGGGTCCAGATGCACTGTGGCTATCATCTATGTGGAGCACAGCAGCTGGTTTGTGGCCTGTATAATAGCCAAGCTGGGCCACATAAATTGCGCAATTTCGTGCACACAAATGCTAAATCAATTTCTATTGCAGCCAAGCAGACAGCTCTAAGCGGGATGTCCTGGCTTCCACATTTCCTGACAGGATGCTCAGCATGATGCTGGCCC